AACTTCTTACGTCACATGACCTGTTCTCAGCGGTTAGAAGCTTAGGGATGGCTGTTAACTATCTCCTAGTTATTTTACCTCACGTTATCTGCAAACTGTGAGGCCTACTCCACCCGACCCCATATGGGGTGGGGTGTGGGGGGGGGGTGATCTGTGTGTGGTTAGCATTCCGCTGGGCCTCTCTCTCCCTCAGAGGCTGGTGCCACCGCCCTACCATACTCTGAAAAACTTACCCTATTTCTCTTGTTACTGCCCTTGCAACATTGCACAGCTCCTGATGGCGCACTGAGAAGTGTAAGAGTACTTGAGCTAAAGATTCTCCCCCCCCCCGTGGCTTGTACTCTCGACTTTTTTGTTATAAATCGTCCAAGGCCGGTCTGCGAGTACATCTGACGAGAACCTCGGAGGATTTACGACTATTCCCTGAGTACTACCTACACGTGACGGGTAAACATGATACTCGTTGTGTTCTCAAAAAGGAGATTCTGTTGACTAAGTCCAGACGAACTGACTTTCATCTCCAAGAACTTAACATTTATCCAAGATCTGAACTACAGTACTGAGTGAGATGATGACAGCTGCTGTCACTTTGCCTTAATATAAAGCTCTCAGATACTTTCAGTTTTAATTATTCTTTATCAACTTCCTTATCAATTTAACAAATATTCTGTCCAAGAGACAGTCCAAATTTCCCATTTAATATTTTACTTGAATCAGTGTGTTTTGCATGTACTTCATCACTGTCTGTGGTTGCAGGGGTCGATTCATAGCTCCTGGCCCCGCCTCTTCACTGGCCGCTACTGGGTTACTCTCCCTGCACCATGAGCTTTATCATACCTCTCCTTAAAGCTATGAATGGATCCTGCCTCCATTACATCGCTTCCCAAACTATTCCACCTCCTGACTACTCTGTGACTGAAGAAATACTTCCTAATATCCCTGTGATTCATCTGTGTCTTCAACTTCCAACTGTGACCCCTTGTTGCTGTGTCCCATCTTTGGAACATCCTGTCTTTGTCCACCTTGTCAATTCCTCTCAGTATTTTGTATGTCGTTATCACGTCCCCCCCTATCTCTCCTGTCCTCCAGTGTCGTCAGGTTGATTTCCCTTAACCTCTCCTCGTAGGACATACCTCTTAGCTCTGGGACTAGTCTTGTTGCAAACCTTTGCACTTTCTCCAGTTTCTTTACGTGCTTGGCTAGGTGTGGGTTCCAGACTGGTGCCGCATGCTCCAATATGGGCCTAACGTACACGGTGTACAGGGTCCTGAACGATTCCTTATTAAGATGGCAGAATGCTGTTCTTAGGTTTGCTAGGCGCCCATATGCTGCAGCCGTTATTTGGTTGATGTGCGCCTCAGGAGATGAAGATTGAGACACTTATGCAGCATATGGGAATCTTTATTCAGGAAACGTTTCGCCACACAGTGGCTTCATCAGTCCAATACAAAGAGGAAGGCGTAAGGAGAGGAGGAGTATGAGGTAATCAGTCCCTCAGCCTGGAGTCGATGTGTTCAGTCCATCAATCTTGTAGAATGTACAGCATAGGGCCGTAGACGTGGCTTATATACTGCAGTGAGGTGAGGTGAAGCAGGCGGAGGCGGGGTCATAGTGGTACCAGTCTGAAGTGTTCCTATAATGAAGTCGTCTGTTTCCCTTCTTTCCATTCCTCTCGTCTCCTCAAAACTCCACTGTTTTTTTATGAGCAATGCTACTCCTCCCCCTCCTCTGTTCTCTCTGTCTTTCCTCATAATCTGATATCCAGGTGGAAAAATTGCATCTGTTATCATCCCTGTAAGTTTTGTCTCTGTTAGTGCTATAATGTCAGGTGATGCATCAGTGATGTGTTCTTGCCACTCTTATTTGTTATTCCATCTGCATTGATGTACCATACCTTTAGCTTCCTTTCCATTACTGTATTTTGGGAGATGGAAGAAGAAGGTGCAGGCTGGGAGGGTGGGAGGCAGGGCACAATATTATGGGAGGCTGCTGTGACTGTGGAATTAGTGCTTAGGGGGGGTGGTGGCTATGGAGTGAGGTTCATTTCTGTTTACTGTGTTTGGATGATATGTGGTGACGGGTTGAGAGGTTTCTGTAAGCATTTGTGTTTGATGTTCCCCCAAAGGCTGAGTTTTCCTGTCTGTCGTTGCCTGTCCTGTCTCTCTTTCCTTCCACTGGTTCTGTCTTGCTCTCACTTTCAGTTGTTCCCTTTCCTTTCGTGTTCTGTCTCGACTGAGGAACACTTTTTGATAATCTGGAGAGTCCTTTAACAGTGGTTTCTGTTGTAGTATCCTGTTCCGTACCACATCTGTCTTGAATGTCAATCTGATTGGTCGATTTTTTCCCTCGGATACCCCCCAAGTCTGTGAAAATTTTCTACTTGAGACATGTCCCTCTCTCCTGTTATTGCAATGATGTTCTTAATCTCTGTTTTCTCCCAATGCTTTCTTTCATCATAGGTCTGCCCTTCAGCCTCCTGAAGCCCATGAATAATTATTGATCTCTCCCTCTCCTCTTCCCATTTCTTTTCCCTCTGTATCTCTGGATCTGATTTAAGCATCTCCTTTGCTGTTTCCCTAATCATCTCCCAGACACCATGATGGCCTGATATTACTGCTGCAAAAGACTGCTTAGATCCATCCCCTCCTTCAGTCCCCTCGCTGCCTGCTGATGTTCCCATTTCAGCCATCTTGCTCCTTTCGGACCTCATCTTTAGATCCTGCTTCAGCACATCCATTTCTTTCTCCAATCTTTGTATCTTTATCTCAGCTACTACAGCTCGTGATTCCCACTTCTTGCTCTCTGCAGATATTTGCTCTAATATGTTATTGCAAAGCTCGTTTAACCTTTTCTCCCATTGTTGTTCCATTTTGTTCTTGAGCCGTTCTACCCATTCTTCCTTTTCCGACCAGCCATCATCGGTTCCCTTGCCTTTACATCCTCCCTTTTGAGAGCCCATTTTGTTTTTATCCTGTTGGGATGTTCTAGCTGCTTCAGCTTATCGTAAAAATGTGTGTGGTGGGGGGGATTTATGAGCTAATTGTTTGTGTGTGTGTGTGTGTGTGTGTGTGTGTGTGTGTGTGTGTGTGTGTGTGTGTGTGTGTGTGTGTGTGTGTGTGTGTGTATGTGGGTATGTGTGTGCGTGCTCACACTAGGCCTTTTGAAGATTATAAAATTTTTTCACAATCAATTCCTTATTAATATACACTAATATATACTATATAATATTTACTGTGTACACTTGTGTTTGTGTTTACTAGCTTGTCGTTCTTTGAAAAAGAGGGGGGTCACGTTAACACTATTGTTATTGTTCTTGGTTCACCGGTACTCTCCCGGCCCAGATCTTTCCACACTAGGCTACGTTACTTTTTTGAAAATTATAGGATTATTTTTTCTCACTCAATTCCTTACTAATATATACTAATGTTTATTATAATAATTACTGGTGAACACATGTGTTTGTATGTGCGTACTTGTTTACTAGCTTGTCGCTGTCAGAAAAACGGGGAGGGGGTTCACTAGGCTACACAACTCTTCTGAAGATATTTAGATAATTTACTAAACATTATCAGGGTTACCACTATCTATCTCCTGGTACTGAAAGTTAGGGAGAGAGTGATGGTATAGCATACAACCAGCAGGGCGAGACACTGAGACTTTAGACACTAACCAAAATTAACCACACATAGGCAAGTGATGTCGTCTGCACAACAATGGAGGTTCCTGCTGGTCGGCTGCTATCAACTCCTTCAATTTTGTAACTCCTTCAGGAACTTTATCATGCATTCAAGTTTTTCTTTTATTTTTCTTTGAAGACTTGGTATTCACTCTTTTTTCTTTAGTACAGTATTGGTCATAACAAATCTGATGATATTAACTACATTCACAACACCAACAGCTGGGGATTGACTAATTTTTTCTTACTTTCAGTATTTACTTAATCACTCGTTCATGATCTTATCACTACACTGCTTCTATAACCAACCAACATATGTATTTGTTAATATTTCAGATCACACCGTTAACCCAATTAACTGTTTGGATATTTTGTGTCAACACTGCAGCCAGCTGACTGCTACCCTCCCTTACTCACCATTCATTCAGATTTAAATTGTAAAATTCTTGATCTTATCACATTATTCGCACTCTTGAAAGCTATTACACTCTTGTAGGTATGTTCACTGATTCACTCACGTACGATGACCGCTAATAATATCTTAGGACAGCCACTAGAACGCTAAATCCTGGGATCACTATTCAGCGATACTGCTTCATGTGTGTGTGTGTGTGTGTGTGTGTGTGTGTGTGTGTGTGTGTGTGTGTGTGTGTGTGAATGGGTTTATGAGCCGGGGTGGGTGGCTTAGATACCATGGAATTAAGGTCAGGAGATTCCAGGAGACTCCCGCTGCCTATCATCGTATCAGGACACCCTGATACGATGATAGTGGTTAGAGGCCCAGCCTCTAACCACTCTCTCGTGAAGTCAGATCAAAATGCTTATTTCATTTTTAGATTCGCAACCTTTTAAGCCTAAAGCTGGTCTTACTGGCAATGTCTGGTGTGCTACTGATGGCCATGTCAGGTGTGGTCTTCATGACCTGGTCTCATGTACAAGCGTATTTACATTACCTACCTGGAGTCGTTTCCGGAGCTCACCAGGTCACCGCCCCCACGGTGACCTGATGCGAGAGGCAGGACAGTCCTGCTTTAAAGCTGAATTATGTAGATGTCATACTGTTTGTTTAACAATCATACATCTTAACACTTTCAAAGATTTTGATAATGTGAGAGGTTAGTGGTATTGGCGAAGTGTGTGTCTATCACACAGCACTACAACACGCCTGTGTTTACAGTACACAGAATACGTCGATTAGCAAGACATATTAACCACGCGATAATTAAAAGTGTTAAGTGAATGCTGTGTTGAAAATGGTCAGGTAATACTGAAGTGTGAAGTATCATGAACTGCACGTACGTAAATAATAAATTAGTGAACTTACCTTCCCTGTCGATGGTGAAGTAACCAAGACCGTCCCCGGCAGTGATGGTGTATGTGAGACGGCCCTGGTCGGGGTCCCGAGCTGTTAGGCTGGTGACCAGGGCACCTGGAGGCATATTCTCCTGAACACGACCCCGCACCACACGCTCACTGAACACAGGAGGACCAACGTTTTCGTCCACGTCGTGAACGCGAATGAAGAGAGAAGCGCGAGCTTCTAAAGATGGCGAGCCTCCGTCTTGGGCTCGAACTGACACATTGTACGACTGTCTAGTTTCAAAATCCAGCGGTGCCGATAGCCGCACTACTCCTGTTTCCTCGTCCACGCGGAAAGCATCTCCGTGACCGCTGACTAGACTGTACCTGATTAGGCCACCCACACCTTGATCTTGATCGGTGGCCTGCAAAGTGGCCACCACAGCACCCAGAGGTAAATCTTCAGGAACGTCCACTGTCAATTTGCTGGCCGCACCAAATTCAGGTGGACAGTCATTGATGTCGAGGACCGTTACTAGTACTCTGGCAAGGGCAGAGCGAGGGTTTTCCAAGGCACTGTCCCAAGCCCGGACTCTCAGATCATACTCACTGCGACGCTCACGGTCCAGTCCGCCGGACATATACACCACACCTGTTGTTCGCCCAACTGTAAACTCTTCCACGTCTGTCACTAATTCGTATGTTATTTTAGCGTTGAGACCTTCATCGGCATCTTGGGCACTCAGTTGTGCCACGCTGGTGCCATTACGAGTATTTTCTGGCAAGTGAAGGCTGTAACTCACACGACTAAACTCTGGTGCATTGTCATTCACATCAGCAACCTGAACAGTAAGATTTCTTGAGACGCACTTATGTGGAACTCCAAGATCATAAACAGTAATGTTGAGGAAATACTCTGGAGTACGCTCTCGATCCAGCTCCGCCACGACCTCTAGCACACCAGACTCGACGCCAATCTTAAAGACTGAGTCAGTGTCACCGTTGGACACGGCGTACACCACCCGCCCGTTGTGGCCTCTATCATGGTCCTTAGCTTCCACAGTAAGGAGTGCCTTACCGATTTCAGCATCCTCGAGAACCCTGATGATGCTGGGAAACTTGTCAGGAAAGTCCGGGGCATGGGAATTGTATCCGTAGCGGAGCGGCAGAAGAGCGTAGTGTTCCACAGCTGCGTTATTCTCAGCTGCTGCAGCCTCCACCTCTGCTGCCTTGGTGCTGATCCCGGTCTCATGGCACTCCACATGAGAGTGCTGTCTTATGTTAGCTCGGTCCTCATTTCTTTGGGTGATGATAGCCACCGTCACGCTGGTGGGGTCGGATATATGGGATCCATCAGTAGCTGTTACGTTGAGAACGTAAGTCCTCAGTCTATCACTTGTAATAAAATATTTCCTGAGATCACAGGTGAGAGCAAGTACACCTGAGGCGGCGTCCATAGCCCAACACTCTTCTTCCATATCGTTCTGGAGTTTGTAACTCACGATACTGGCGTTGTCCAGGTCGAGTGCGGAGAGTGTGAGAACACTAGTGCCCACCGGGGCGTCCACAGACACCCAGCCCTTGCAGTCAACACCTTCAAACTGAGGCCTGTTGTCATTAACGTCACGAACTTTGACTTTCACTGTTGTTTCTGTTTCCCGTTTGAAAGGTGTTCCCCAGTCCGAGGCTCGAACCTTGATGGTATACACACGTCGCTGGGCCTCATAGTCAAGCACAGACGAGGTACGCACTGTGCCGTCGAAGGGATCAATAACAAAGGGTACTTGATCAAGGTTAGCAATGCTGTAAGATATAAAACCATTCTCCCCTGAGTCTACATCAGAGGCGATCATACGAGTAACATACGAGCCTATGGGCTCATTCTCATCTAGCGTGACCTCTGTGTTGGGGGTGTTGAACTGAGGTGCGTTGTCATTGGCATCCAACACGCGGATAATAACCTTAGCCGAGGACTGCTTCCTGCGGGCATTGCTGGCTTGGTCCACAGCAGCCACAGTGACACTGTAGTAGGCAGTGGACTCATGGTCTAGCCAGTCCGCGGTAGATATAAGACCTGTTCGGGGGTTAATATTAAATTTGTCGTCCTCATTACCAGCGACTATTCTGAAGAGAACCCTTCCATTAATACCCTGGTCAGTGTCTGAGGCTGCTACTCTCACCACCGGAGTATTGGGTGGAGCTTCCTCGCTCACAGCCTCCTCGTACTGTTCTCTGGCAAACACAGGCGCATGGTCGTTCACATCAGCAATGTTAACGTGGACGTTGACGCGCGACTTGCGCTGTGGAATGCCGCAGTCGAAGGCCTGAAGGGTCAGGTTGTAGCCCTCAGGCGCCAGTTCACGATCCAGCAACTTCAGCACAGCTAAATTATATTCTTTGGAATGTGAACCACGAGTAATACTGAAGAGACGGTCGGGATCACCGCCTACGATATCTACTTTATCTACTTTGCCACTCTCGCCCTCGTCAGCATCATCAACAGTGATGATGGCATAGATGTGTGTGTGAGAGTGCTCCACCACGTGTGGCAAGTGTTGCACAGTGATACTGGGTGCATGAATGTTGACCTGATGCACCTGCACTTGCACTGAGGCTCGCGCCGCAGCTACAGACCGCACGTTCCGGGGCTGGGGCCCGCGGTCCTGGGCCAATACTGTTACTCTGTGTATGCGGCCATACATGTGAGACAATGGCCGCGTGACGCTTAGAACACCAGTGGTTGGGTGGACGGCGAATAAATTTGTCTTGTGATCTTCTAGTGAGTAATAAAGTTGGCCATTGTAACCATCGTCAGCGTCGTGTGCAGTGACAGAGATGAGTGAGGTGTGAAGGGAGGCGTCTTCGCCCACATTAACCTGGTATACAGTCGGGTAAAACAAAGGAATATTATCATTGGTGTCCAACACTAACACTGTCACATTGGTCCTGGCTTTGAGGTTGCCTCCCCAGTGAGCAACATTCTTCAGTCTGGCCTCCACCACAAGAGAGTAGCGGGCCCGGCGCTCCCTGTTGAGTACATCCCCCAGGCCAGTCTTTGTCCTCACCTTCAGCACCGTCACACCTCCTACTAGCTCGGAGTCAGCAGCGAAGAAGTGATCTTGGTCCCCATCTACTATTTCATAGGCGACATGGCCGGAGGGCGGCAGGTCATCCATCGCCACGCCCATGAGCTCCTCCCCGGCCACGTAAGTCCTAGGTAAGGAGTTCTCGTAGATGCTGACATTGTACAGGTTTCTTAGGAACCGAAATGAAGTCTTAGGGGAGGTGTCCCCGCCCGAGGACCCCCCGGCCAGCAGTGGTAAGGCTAATAGCACAAGTTGAAGGAAAAGGCGTTGGACTGGGCGTGTGTTGGCGTGGTGGGCGCGAGGCAGTGTGGGCAGGGGCGCCCGCAAGCCCGCTCCCCGAGGCATCATGCCGCCCTCAACATGTCATCTTGGTACTGGCATCACCTGAGGAGGAAAACAAACAAAAGTTACTTCAACATCATTTCTGAGGTGATTAAATGTAAGTTTAGATATTTAAGTTGCTATAACTCAAGCATACATACACGAGGACGTCAAACAGTAATCAAAATTCTCAGTAGTATTAGTTCCCAGTAGTACTAGTTACCAGTAGTATGACTACCAACCGTCTGCGTGAATCACTGACTGTTATTCACGTTGCAGCTGACCTTAGCATGTTTTTGAACGCCGCTCACCCCTAGGCATCACTGGTGAGTCAGTTTTAAGATAGTGAGCAGAGGCAGGGCGGGTCTGTGCTTCCCATACCTTCCATTATAATTATACGTACTAACCAGCCTACGTGAGTGTTCTTACCTAATCCACGTTTCGAACCCCCACATAACAAAATCACCCTTCGATAGTTTCCTTTCTCTCTCTCTCTCTCTCTCTCTCTCGCTCCCTCCATCACCCTCCTTCACCACCCTCTTTAGCAACAAACGTATCGTCAGAGGTGTATATCAATCGTATAACTTCAGTGCTACATGTGAGACAAGCACATCTCTGAACAGAATCCAGAGAACTAAACAAACAGTCCTTCAGGCTATTATAGACAAGGTATGTCAAGTCCATCATCGATGACAAGGTTCCTTCATGGAGCCTCTTCATGCAAATAATTTGTGAAGATAAGAAAGTTTACAAACAGACTAATTCCAAAGTTTAGAAAAATGTAGTAAGAGAAGAATCTGAAGAAACTAAGCCTAACGCCCGTGAGGGATAACAAAAACTAGAGGAGACATGATTACAAGCAATAGAGTGCTTAGAGGATTTGATAAGAATATAACATCAAAGGTATTTATCGTTTAACCTGGCCAGTTTGAACATATGTTGCCTTCAGTCGAATATGTCAAGGGTCTTAACAGTTCATTTGTGTGATACTGTTCATACGAACTCCATACTGAGACTTTCTCTGCTATTATATGTCCCATACTCTTTCATTATAGGTGTCAGACATGGAAATTACCAAGCAAGATGATGTTGGAGACCAGGTTTCTAAAGTTTACGAGGCAGTGTTGTGTACTGGATCGTGCGATAATATTCAACACGTAGAAAATATTCCTAAATAACTGTGTGTGTATTATATATATATATATATATATATATATATATATATATATATATATATATATATATATATATATATATATATATATATATATATATATTTTTTTTTTATTCACCGGTATTCTCCCGGCCCGGGTCTTTTCCAAGTAGTGGTGACCCGGCCTTGGCTCCCTATCTGGGGAGTGTCTCGAGACTTAAGTCTCCCATGGGAGGAAGGACAAGTACCTCCTCATCTTTGGGACCAAGTGTCCCCAGGCCTAGCCACATTCCCCGCCCTCACGGGGCTCGTAGGGAGAAGCTAGGCCTCTGGTCTGCCATCTACCCCGCCTCAAAGGGGCTCGTGGGGATGGCAGTCTTATGAGCTGCAGATGGTAGCAAGCTCAGGCTCTCCTATATATATATAATATATAATCACGAGAGAGTGAAGTATTCACACCACGGTCTACTTACATCTAACATTTTATTAAATATAAATTTTAATAATTAATTTACTGCAAGAAAGTTTGTGTGTCAGGTTGTAGAGTGCGCCCCAGAGAACACTGTCACGTGTCAAGAGTGCATTTCTACTGCTACTACTACTTCATTACTACTGCTAACACCGCTACTACCACTACTGCTACACCTACTACATTCCTTCCCCCTCTCTCCTCCCATCCTATATTCTGGACTTCCCTCTATTATATTCTCACTCAATTGTGACTTGACAATGGTCCAGAACGGAGCGAAACGTGTGTGGCACCCATGTTGGACTGCGTGCCGCAAGCACCAACAGCCAGCCTGACTGACCGGAAAGTCATGAAGGAAGCCTAGTGCAAGACCAAGCCGAGGGACACAACCACACCAGAATAATCGCCGGGCAGAATAACAAAGTATTTTTCCACATTATGCAGCATATAAATTCTCTTCATATTAATTAATAATAAAATTCTAATTTCGCTAAAAGCTACGGATTATCCAACAAATATAATAAAAACGCAGAATTTAAAAAAAATTGATAAATATTGCGAAAATTTTAAAACACACTAGAATAATTTAATTTATTTGTTGAAGAGTAAATGAGGAAAGTGTTGAATCTGTTAAGAAAACTTAATTATCATTATGAATTATTCCTCATAGTTAATTTACGAAAAAACTTTAAAAATACATGTCTTAAGAGATGTATTTATAAGAGAGTGGAACTCAACGTTAGTGATGGTTGTGTATATAAGTGTATATATTTGTCGAGGTTATGTGTGTCATTACTTAGTGACTCCTTGATGATGATGATGATGATGATGATGATGATGATGATGATGATGATGATGATGATGATGATGATGATGATGATGATGATGATGATGATGATGATGATGAATGATGATGATGATGATGATGATGATGATGATGATGGAGATGATGATGATACAGATCATGTTGTTGATATACAGAGTGTGTAGATGTACCAGGAGAGTCATCTGATGTGTAAACTCAACACACTTGACGTATACACCACCACTGATGTATACCACCACCACGCTGATGTATCCACACACGGAGTTCCACCACCGTGATGTATACCACCACCACGTGATGTATACCACCACCACGCTGATGTATACCACCACCACGCTGTATACCACCACCACGCTGATGTATACCACCACCACGCTGATGTATACCACCACCACGCTGATGTATACCACCACCACGTTGATGTATACCACCACCACACTGATGTATACCACCACCACGCTGATGTATACCACCACCACACTGATGTATACCACCACCACGCTGATGTATACCACCACCACGCTGATGTATACCACCACCACGCTGATGTATACCACCACCACGCTGATGTATACCACCACCACGCTGATGTATACCACCACCACGTGATGTATACCACCACCACGCTGATGTATACCACCACCACGCTGATGTATACCACCACCACGCTGATGTATACCACCACCACGCTGATGTATACCACCACCACGCTGATGTATACCACCACCACGTGATGTATACCACCACCACGCTGATGTATACCACCACCACGCTGATGTATACCACCACCACGCTGATGTATACCACCACCACGCTGATGTATACCACCACCACGCTGATGTATACCACCACCACGCTGATGTATACCACCACCACAGTGATGTATACCACCACCACCTGATGTATACCACCACCACGCTGATGTATACCACCACCACACTGATGTATACCACCACCACGCTGATGTATACACACCACCGAATACCACAACGTGATGTATACCACCACCACGCTGATGTATACCACCACCACGCTGATGTATCCCACCACCACGTGATGTATACCACCACCACGCTGATGTATACCACCACCACGCTGATGTATACCACCACCACGCTGATGTATACCACCACCACGCTGATGTATACACACACACGTGATGTATACCACCACCCGCTGATGTATACCACCACCACGCTGATGTATACCACCACCACGCTGATGTATACCACCACCACGCTGATGTATACCACCACCACGCTGATGTATACCACCACCACGCTGATGTATACCACCACCACGCTGATGTATACCACCACCACACTGATGTATACCACCACCACACTGATGTATACCACCACCACGCTGATGTATACCACCACCACCTGATGTATACCACACCACTGTGTATACCACCACCACACTGATGTATACCACCACCACGCTGATGTATACCACCACGCTGATGTTACACCACACTGATGTATACCACCACCACACTGATGTATACCACCACCACACTGATGTATACCACCACCACGCTGATGTATACCACCACCACGCTGATGTATACCACCACCACGCTGTATACCACCACCACGCTGATGTATACCACCACCACGCTGATGTATACCACCACCACCTGTGTATACCACACACGTGTGTATACCACCACCACGCTGTGTAACCACACCACACTGATGTATACCACCACCACACTGATGTATACCACCACCACGCTGATGTATACCACCACCACGCTGCTGCATACCACCACCACACTGTTGTATACCACCACCACACTGTTGTATACCACCACCACACTGTTGTATACCACCACCACACTGTTGTATACCACCACCACACTGTTGTATACCACCACCACACTGTTGTATACCACCACCACACTGTTGTATACCACCACCACACTGCTGTATACCACCACCACACTGTTGTATACCACCACCACACTGTTGTATACCACCACCACACTGTTGTATACCACCACCACGCTGATGTATACCACCACCACACTGTTGTATACCACCACCACACTGTTGTATACCACCACCACACTGTTGTATACCACCACCACGCTGATGTATACCACCACCACTGTGTATACCACCACCACACTGTGTATTACCACCACCACACTGTGTATACTACCACCACACGTGATGTATACCACCACCACAACTGTTGTATACCACCACCACACTGCTTGTATACCACCACCACACTGTTGTATACACCACACCTGATGTACCACACGTGATTGTACCACCACCACGCTATACAACACACTGTTGTATCCCTACCACCACACTGTGTATACCACCACCACACTGTTGTATACCACCACCACACTGTGTATACCACCACCACACTGTTGTATACCACCACCACACTGTTGTACTACCATACACTGTGTATCCCCCCACACTGCTGTATACCACCACCACACTGTTGTATACCACACAGCGTATCCCACCACACTGTTGTATACACCACCACACTGTTGTATACTACCACCACACTGCTGTATACCACACACCTGTGATACCACACACATGTTGTAACATACACTGTGTACCACCACCACACTGCTGTAC